GAGAGGCTTAAACATTTGCTCTGAGCACCAAAATCAAGAAAAAGGGAGAAGCTTTGTACACAAGGGCACACTCAAATGGAGGTGTGTATGCACAGGAATGTGTACATGAGGGGGCCGACCTACCTCAGGTTCAGGGAGGTTGTGAAACTTATTCTTATAGTTATACCCCACTTGCACACAGTTACAAGATAAAATCATCAGCTTAGAAATAGGGCTAAATTGACCATTGATTTCTTTATACTGTGAGCCAAAGCTGTTGCGTACATCTATCTCCTAAGCAGAGGAACATTTTCCCCCCTCACCCACAATTCATTTTGTTCTCATCAGAAGACCTCAGCACACATTTTGATCTCTGCATTTCTGTGTCCATTCCTGGAAACAAATGTTTTAAATTAAACTCTGCTCTTCCTGAGCAACAAGAAACTTCAGGGATACATTATTATCGATTAGATTTTCTTTTCTTTGGGAGGATGTCACCAGAAGCAATATTTGCATTTCTTTGCAAATGTACATGATGAGCAGAACAAAGACACAGCTTAAATATTCCAACCATCAGATTAGTTCTGCCTGTAAGCAACACCCTCCCCAAAGCAGGAATCAGTTCCTTTATCCCCTGTCCCTGGTAACTGGCAGAGTGCTCTGAAAACACAATCCCTAATTGCTTTCCTGTTTAACTTTCTACTGTTCAAATACCAGTCTTATACTACAGAGGGGGGCTGCCCCCCAAAATTCTGGATTCTTCCAAAGAACCCACAGTCAAAACATAAAGGGAAGTACAATTGCGACCAGCATATCCTTTATGTGGCTGGCCCTCAAGTGCCCTGCCACTGAACAGAGAAGTTTCATTTTTCTAACCACCCAGTTGATAAAAGTTTGCTTTCCTGTCAATTAGATGAATCGTGCTTTAAAGCCATCTATGTTATGCAAGCAAATTCCATGGCAATATGTGGTAGGAAAATATGCATTGTTTAGAAAAGTATACTTCTTGTTCCATTTTATAAGGCTATATCAGGCTTCGACCATACGGGTTCAATACTGTGGTTACAATTGTCCCCTTTTGCCATTCCAGAGCTGGCAGAAGGTATTATATCAGCGTTGATGATTTAACCTTTCAGTACTTTCTCTGGGAATCTCTACATACCTTTGTGTTGGTTTTTCTGGTATTTTCTCATCCCCCAGCCCCCCAAATATGGCTGAGAGAGTGTGATGGAGAAAAAGCAACCATGACCTGCCATAGGTGAGCATAATCTTGAACCTGGGTCTTCCAGTTCTTGGTCCAGCTCCTTAACCATGACTCTGTACCTGTTCTACCAAGTTGACCCACCCACCCACCCACCTACACAAACAAAAATAACCCTATTATGTTAAATTATTCTACCAAATGCACTGACAATCCTGGGAGGCAAATGTGGAGGCCAGCCACCATAACTCTTTCTCTCCTCCCTCCTTCATAACTGGCATGTTAAATTCTCAGAAGCACTGTAGATAATTGTGGATAAGCCCATCTGCAGATAAGCCAACCTTCAAAATTTCAACCAATGGCCTATAGTAGTCTTAATCAAAAATTGTTAAGATTTCTGGCTAAACTTCTAACATTCGTCAGTCCTTACATATCTGCAAAGTTTAGAGCAGTTCAACTCTTGCTAACGCTTCTCCCACTAGCCAAGATTCCTAGCTCTTGCTTATGATATCCTGACACTGAAATTCAACTGGGGTGTGGGTGGAGAATGATAGTAAATGGAGTTACAAGGAGAACAGCATTTGGATTTTCCCCACATGACAGCTGATTATCTTGGGTTAGCCAAACTGAAATTACAAGAAAGTATATTACTAGCTATACAACTTGATAGAATTTCAGTGGCATACATTTGCAACAAATCCTTTAAGGTGAGTAACGGTTTATCAGGCTTTTCATCCAAATCAGCTTTTTATAATCAATTGTTTCCCTTCAGATGGCTATGAGGGTGGCTAACAGTAGATTTAAGGGGAGAGGGACATTAGGAATCTGGTTATATATCTATGATCATGTTGCTTAGGAATTGAGATTGATGCCCCCAGAGTCAGTCTGGATATACTGAAATGGCTTCAGCAATCTTAATGCATCTCTTATTTAACAATTAACAATATAACAAATTTTTATTTATTTGTTAATCAACTGAGACCTTTTTCTGCCCTTTTAAGTTGTGTTATATGATGTCCTTGCCCTGAATTAAGTGTTAATTGTTCATCAGATCGCTTCTTGCATTTCTTTGCAATCAAGTCAGATTTCCCAACATTACATTTCTATAACCGTTTTTGGAAGAGAGCTGAATATGATGTACAGGTGGTTTTTTCCTCATTTTTATCCCCTCACCCCACCCACCATCCTGTGAGATACATTGGGCTGAGAGACAATGATTGGCACAGAGGTCCTGCACTAGACATGGGATTGGACAAGATCAGTCTTTCTCAAACTTGGCAACTTTAAGACGTGCGGACTTCAATTCCCAGAATTCCCCAGCCAGCATAATACTGGACTAGATGATCTCCAGAATTACTTCCAAGCTTTACTTTCTATAAGTTCATTATCAAGTTGAATCCCAGTTCCACTTCAACACCTTTTCTAATGAGTAGCTTCATGAAACAGGAATCATGTAAAGACTTCCTGGGGAAGATGGCAGACTGAAGACAGCTCCGTGTAAAGTGCAGCCAATGTCTGAGGGCTTTAACAATCCTCTCTGGATAAAAGAGAGCGATGGTGAGATTGCTCAAGCTGTTTCTCCTTATGACTGATCGTTTTCCTCATGGAGAGATTGCAAGACAGCAATCTCAGGGATGGAGGGAACCAGGAGACAGGGGAATTCTCCGTAACTGCTCAAGCTGCAAACGGGGCCTTTTTAAAGGACAATAAGTTTGCATACTTCCCTTGCTAACTGCCTTCTAATTACCTATTAACTGCTTTAAATAAGCTAGACACCTGCAAAGTAACAAGGTTGGAAATAGCCAGTGACTGCCTTCAATTCTTAATGTAAGAGTATGAAGATTTATTTTTATAAATTTTCACAACTTTAAATAAACAGCAAAAAGCAAGAGAAGATTTTGGCTATAGAAAGTTTTAAACAAATTAAGGGCTCAGCGTTGGAAATTGGACTTTGACTATTAAGACTCTGAAATTACTTTTAAAGCATAATTGCATGTTTGTGGGAAAGAGAAATTGTTTTTGCGACTGAACACATAATAAGACAAGTAATTTAAAATGGCTTTTAGAGATATCTTTGAGGAAGTGCATTGGGATATTGAAACAATTACGTCAGCTATGTTGTGTTTTTCTGAGAGCACTCTGGTCTTAGAAGAAGATGTTGTAGAACAAGATATGCAGCAAAACTTACCCGAAGAAAACATGAGTGAGAATCTGAATAAGATATACAGAAAAAAATTGGATGAGAATTTAAAAATGAAGAAAGAAATAATGACCATCCTAGAGAGCAATTGGATTAATTTCTTTTTGCTGGAATCATAAGAGAGATTGTTTAAAGTACTGAAGAAATTTTCAGTGAAGACCAATCACCATATGAATGGATTACAGAGAAAGATTGTTCTGTATAAAAGAAAAAAGGAATATAAAATCGGCTTATTTGACCAGGGATAAAATGGGACATGTTGTTATTCTGGCTGGTACCTTTGGGATTTGCAGATAACTTAACTGGGAAAAAATGGGATACACTGGATTTGTTTATACTTAATAAGGTGTTTGTGTTCTTTCCTTTATTGTTATTTTATTAATCTTAATTTCAGAGTACTCAAAATGGTTTTGTATTTAATTGCCTTTTTACTTAAAGTAAGGAAGTTAGATCTTGGCTTTTTTAAGGAGAAACAATTTCTCTTGTTATGCTAAATTTTAGTCTTTTGTGGATTTGTTTATAGTTTAGAATTGAGATATGGAATGTTTATCTGAATGGGATAAGTTGTTATTTAGGGCAAAAATGTTGTGTACTGGAGCTTGTCTTTTGTAAAGAAGAAATGGTATCTTTTTGTTATGTTAAACCTTGTTTTTATTTTGTTTATAGTGAGATATTGGGACCATTTTATGCCTTTTAAATTTGATTTTGTTTTAGCTAAGAGTGGAGGTGTGGACTGTTAAATTTTATATATGTTAACTAAAGTTAATATTTTAGAGCTCTGTTTGGACTTTTTGCTGAGAATTGGATGGGAAAAGGGGTTACTTATTTGATTTGCCTACTGTTAAGAGATGGGTTATGGGATGAAGAGTCTATATTGGTTAAATGAGAGGAGGTGAAGAGATTATGGAATTGTTTATACTTGTCATTATGAGGGGGGAAGTCACTTTTTTAGAGGGGAGAGTTTTTTTCTTGTTTTGTTTACTTTTCTTACATTTTTTCTTTTTTTTCTTTCACTTGCATTCTTTTATTCTATCTAAAACTTTTAATAAAATTATTAGAAAAAAAACATGAATCGTATAGCTAAAATGTTGATGGAGAATGACAAGCTCTGAATCTACTTCTGAACCTATCTAGCTTTTAAATAAGACACATTTTAGGAGCTATACCCAGGTCCTAGATATTTTTACAATAAGAATATTATGAATGCTTCTTCAAGAAAAAGACAGTAGGAAATCACAGTGGTTACTTCCCAAATCAGAAGATACTTTCTTTCTTAAAACTGTTAAACTACTAAAGTTGTTAAAGCATTGTTTTTCTTCCATCATTCCTTGCTTCCTTACCTCTTCTACACAAGCCAACAAGGGTTGATCAGCCTACATATTTTGCATTTAAACTTAATGTTATACTTGTAGATCATACCACTATTATAAGTAACAAAATAAAATTGAGTGTGCTTTTGCTAGTTCAATGACTCAACACACCTACTTGGAAAAAAACACACAATTTTTGTTGGAGAAAAGTAAACGTTCTTCAGGCAAGTTAGCCTCAGGAACCATATACGTGCATGCCTGCCTGCCCTAAGTTAAGGTTGCTGTGGGAAGCAGCATCAGTCCCCATGGGCTCTGGCTGCCATGTAAATGTCAGCAAAGGGGGTCACACTGGGCCCATTTGTCCCACCACCTGCCACACTTTGGGTGGTCATTTGGGAACATGGGAAGCTACATCCCTGGTCTAATGTTTGGCGTTGATGTTAGAGAAGATCTGAGGTGGAAGATGATTCCAATGGTCACTGCAAATATTTCCCCTTGTAACTGTGTGTACACACATAAAAAGGCATTTGGCATAGCTCCTTTTCTCCATAACCTCAGCAATCCAGCGGCAAAAAACTTGCTTTGCTTTCCTGCACTAGAGTTGACAAAGGGAAAGAGAATGCTAGGGTGCTAAGTTTAGCAACTAGAGTTTGGGTTTGATTCAATATTTGAAGCACTAAGAAGGATCCTGTGGATTTCAGACTATAAATATTATTTTTATATTATGTGCCATATAAACAGCTGCTTACTGTTAATTTAGAGCTCAACTGCTTCCAGTCATGTGAGCCAACAACTTCAAAGCATCATTACCAATATTTGTACAACTGCAGTTTAGTAAATCTCAGTCCATCAGAAAACTTGCAACTTTTGTCATTAATGCTTTATAAAGTCCTATCCAAGACCACTCTAGGCTGGGCAACGTTCTTCAAAAGTAATGAAATCCATTCAGCACTGATTTTTAAGAGGATATAAATGTCTAACATCATTCTTATGATATATACCAGTATAGACTACTCTAGTCATTAAAAAAAAGATTGATATATTTGGTATATTTGCAGAAGAAACAACTTAGGGAGTTCCAACTAAAATTTGTCCTGGAAGCTTTCATCTATTTTCAGTTCCAAATCCTTGATAAGTAACAACAAATATGCAACCAGTTGGGGTTCATGCGACAAATGCAGCTACATCTTGGAAGCTTCCCACTGAGCTCTCCATACCAATGTTCTGTCGATTGCTTGTACACTTGGACAACCTAGAAAAGAAAAAGGTAAAAGCAGTTTTGTTCAAAATCATTGCCTCAAACAAGTACTTCCAATAATAGTTTTGGAATTGTTTTTCGTATCTATTTATACAAGTCATCAGATCCCCTGCTCTACCTTGAAAGGATAGGTGGCTAATAACTAATAATGTGCCTTCTCACAAATTATATCATCTCTTCACAATAATCTTCCTTAAAGAGGTCCATTTGGTACCATAATTTTTATCCGTCAGATGCCACATAAGATTAATTTTATTTCTGAGTGCTATTTCTGCAATGTTGTTGAGATTGATGTGGGATTCTCCCTTAAAACAAATACTACCTCCAGAAGAAGAGCTCTCTTTGGAAGCAGAGGACGGGAAGTCCTCTTCTCTTATCCCTGTACTTATAAGCCTCCATTACCTTAGTTAATGCTATTTGAATTTTAGAAATTCCACATGTTCACTGCAAAGACAGATTAACACTCAGAGTTAGTTTGGCCCTACAGAGCATCTTTCATTAAAAATAACCGCTATTTAATATAACTATTAAATTAAATAGCTACTTAACTTATATTATGGTCTTTGAGAAAGGGGAAGACTATAGCTAAGTAATAGCATTCATAATTTGTGTACAAAAGAGTCAGTTCCTAATATGGGCAGTTAAAAAGATCAAGTAAAAGATGCTGAGAAAGCTATCTGAGACAGAAGCCACCAAACATGGGATGTTTATGTGACTATGTGTAACATTCCATTGTACAAAACTTATTTTCCTATCAAGTGTGGTCAACATACAAACAGTAAATAAAATAATTCCAGAATGCTCTGTATCTTACCAGAGAGTGCCATTGCTAATTTAAACTCTTCTTTCAATACCTGAAGAACTTCCTTCACACCTTCTTCACCCTAATTAAAATAAAACACATTTTATAAACATATATGTTGTGATCCTAGCTTTGCCCTGGGCAAAATGCTTATAAACTGGCAAACACAGTATTTGTCCAGTAGGTTAATGTTGTTGTTTTTTTCTCCCCAATTCCAGCTCAGCTCACTGATAATGTCAGGTACACTGGCTTAAAGTAGGTTATCCATAATATGGTTTTGGCTTAGTAAGTTATGAATTCAGCCACTTTGGTTCGTGAGCCATAGCGTTATGGCTCAGAATGTATGAAGCCGGATAGTTGTGCTTTAAAAGATCATGGTTAAACAAATAATAGTTTAGCATTATATAGGAATCCAGACATAGCTTTTAAGGACTACAATGACAACATTAAAAATGCGTGCTTCAAAACAGATGAACACCAGGACTGTGCACTGTCAATAAGAATTAGTATGGATTTTGATTGGGTGAACAACCTAATTTGGCATAAAGTAATTTGGAGGTGACCTGATTCAACAGAGGATAACATGTGAAATACGAATTGGAAATCCATTATTTTTAGTCCATTTCTCAAATCTATCAAGTTCATTCTTAGCTATGTACAACATTCACTAATTCAGAATATTTTGTGTCTTCAAATCTGATAACTATTCTCTTCATGTCTTCATTCAAGACATAAATAAAAATGTTGTAGTGGCCTCAGGATCCAGCTATGGAGTTGAACCAGTCAGATCCTTTGGGTTGTCTTCTTAGCATTATAATTGCCACTTTTTGGTATTTGTCCAGAAGCACTCCAAAGACTGCTAAAATGGGGAAGGTTATGTCTTTCGAACAAACACTGAAGAAAAATAATTGAATTCCTGATTTACATTACCTGGTAGGCAAGACCCCAGATTATAGGCCTTCCTACAAAGACTGCTCTGGCTCCAAGAGCAAGGGCCTTGAGAACATCTGTGCCTTTCCTTATTCCACCATCTAGGAATACTTCAGCCTTCCCTTCCACAGCTTCTATTATGTCAGGCAGGACCTCAATCTGTAAATGAAAATGGGAAGGGAGGAGAGTTTCCACATTTGATATATTTGTGGAAGAATCTTTGAGGTCCAAATTTTAAATATTTAGAAGCTGTGATTACCACGGTATTTTATTATCCTATTTGGTAAATATTCCAGCTAGCCTGCTTCAGATGCTAACATAAGAACTGTATCTCCAAGTGAAATTCCAAAATATTACTGAAATCCCAAAAGCTTCTGCACATTCTCTGGGGAACCACAGGCCATGTTCTGCACCTTGTAAATGCTAACTGCAACATAGACTCTCAGTGATACCCCATCATTTCAAAATCCTTGATTATTATGGCCTTGCTGACCCTCATTCTCCAGAAATCAGTTGCTAGATCCTACTGAATCTGCCTTCCTGTGATTAGAAAGTGTCAGCAGGAAGAAACTCTGAGATACTGTACATAGTTAATGCTTGAGAGTGCGTGTCACAGAGAATTTCAAACAGCATACAAATCCTGGAACACCGTCTTCAAATCTGTTGGACAACAGTTCACATAAATCCCAGGAAGTTGTAATTCAGTTGATCTGGACTGGTGAAACAGACTTTTCAATATAGTAGATAAGCATTATCCCCTTTTAATAAACCATCTAGATAGTTGAAAGTTCAGAATATTGCTTATTCTGACAAGGCCTGTGATTGGTTCCAGAATCCCATTTGGTTTTCCAAGATTTAGACTCCATATAGATCCTCAGGCATGACCTACAATTACATTGTTCATTTGTTTTTTTCTACAGTCCTGGTTAGACTTTTCCAGAGTTGGCAAGATGTCCACATTTTTATTTTCCATTTCTGTCCTTTCCTCTCCCCCCCTCTCTCTCTGTATACAAAGAACCACAGATATATGTGTACATATACACAATGCTTTAGTATAACAGACACATCGTTTTAGGGTTTTTTTATCCATTTGAGAACAATTATACACATATCAATTACATTTTACATTCTCCTTTTCCTCAAGCGTTACATTCTTGAGGCATTATTAGAGATCTCTTGGTGAGGTATGAATATTTGAAGATTTAAATGTATGTGGTTTGCAATACCTTATTTAGAAATATGCAGATTTGAATGACTAGACATCCAAGCAAGACAACTTATGAACAAGTATCAGTCACCAAAAAGAAAAGAAAAAGAAAAAGACTGATACCAAATTGTTTGCTAGTCGCAGCTGCAAAAATTCAAATTTTGAACGCTCCGAGACAAATATAGGCAGCCATGCACATACAGATTCAACCACAGTATCCGGCAGATACATCATGCTCAATATTCCAAGCTGAAAGTGCCCTTGAGTTGCTCCTTACAATGTAACATGAGGAGAGACAAAGAAAAACATTTGCTGCCTTTCCTACTGACCATCCATCTGGGTTATCAGTCTGAAGCAGAAGGAAAGCTCTAATCATGAAGGCTTGCCAAATTACTTGAAACCCTGATGATTGAAACAGACTTAATTGCTTATTAATCAGGACTGTTAATAATCAATTCATTAAATAGTGCAGTGTATGGCCCATAATGTGAAATATGATCTCTTCCTTAAATGAAGCCACCTGTTCCAGCGGTTGCTTCTATTGAATTTGGTTTGTCCTCCTTCAATGCTCCTACTTCTCCTAACTACTTTTTTTCTCTCTCTGTTTTCTCAGCACTTCCATTTCTAAATTGCACAGAGGGAAGGAATCATCTACAACTCTTCAGAAGGAGAAAAAAAGAGGCAGCTGAGTAACACTGAAGAAGAGCATGGAAGAAATCAACAAGGTACCACAGGGACCTGTTACAAAATGTTATAGTACGAAACATCTATTGTCTTTTATCTCCCTGTTTTTTCCAGTCCAACAGTCATCAGAATTTTGTATTCCGTCTCATTGAGCATACTCAACCCATAGGCTACATGACTTTTTTTTAAATTTTTCCTTCCCCTGTTTATGTTCTCTAAAGTTTTTACACCTGTTGAGATTCCTCCAGAGGTGTAAATTATTCCTTCTTATACATGAGTGGTGCCATTTTGGTAATATAAAACAATTCACTCACCATTGGAAATAGTGTGATTCATTAGAATGGGGCAGATGGCTGATGACAGACTACATTAAAAGGGGGAGGGACAACTTAGGCATGTAGTGAAGTACAGTAACAGGAAATCAGTCTTCCTCAACACATTCGCTCTTTGTTTCTGGATAAAAAAGTTACTTGTTCAAGTTTTTTACCTTGGTGGAAAGGATTGAGAGAGAGAGAGAGATTTCAATCTGCTGCTGTAATTATGGTATTTTATTTCCCCTTGTATTTTACTTTGAGCATCAAAGATGTAATGAAGTATGGCCTCCCATAGCACCAGTTCAGCGAGGGCCAGAAATTAAGATTATGAAACAGGCTTATGCATTAAGAAAGTCCAAAATAAAGGCATAATTAATAACCAATCAGTACATTTTATTAAATAATAAATGAGCTGGTCCCTTGCTGTTGAGTAGTTACAATGAACAGTTTGCCAGCTAAGTCAGAGAAGTAAGGCTGTGCGCCTCTTCAGAATACAACGGCCTGCTTCCTGTAAAACCATGGGAAGACAAGCAGATAAAGGAAATGTAAGAGAGAGGAGGAGGAGAAGACATTGCAGAGTTTAAGTTCATGGAGAAAACTTAAGAAAATGTCATAAAGAGGAGTGCAAAAAAGGTCACTTGTCCTTGCCTGATGGCTTGGGTATGGCAGAAGCTGTTGAAGCTTCCTTTTGGATGAAACCAAAAGAGAGAAAAGGGAAAGTTGCTGTGCTTCTTTTTAAATTAATATTTTATTTGTTTAAACATTTGAAGGACAGAATAAATATTATTATTATTATTATTATTATTATTATTATTATTATTATTAT